AATTGCTGTGCTCTGGCTGCTCAAGAGCTTTTGTGAGCTTGGCAAAGGACTATTGAAAAAGTCCAGAATGGTTCGTTAATCTTGTTGGGATAGGACAATGGACAATAGTCTGAAACCATCTTCCCAACAGTTTGATTAGTAGAAACATTGACCAGACTTAATTGCTTCTATGTAAATGCAATGTAGGCCATAAAAAAGGAAAAAAAAAATGATAATAAAAGAGAAAGGCAGTTGGAAACCCCTGACAATTTCAATTGCCTGGATGACAGCATGACTGTATAATCCAAGATAGAAGACTAGTAACAATAGATTAAAGCAATACAAAACACTAAAAACTCCCTTTGAATCAGAGATTCCAATACAATTTCTTTTGAAAAATAAGTACCACAGCAGCTGTAGTTCCATATAGCCTGTCAGTTCCATATAGCCTGTCAGTCATATAATGGCAGTTCACAAGCGGGTCAGAAATGTTTGCAGGAACAAAGTTGGAGCAGGTATTTTTCAGCATTAATAATCTTGAATTTACCACTGCAGGAAACTATTTTATCACAGTTGTGAAGTATTGGCACAGCCACCTAAATGTCACTTTTTGTTGTCTCCAGCTAATGCTTTCAATGTGGAGGTTTTAAGAATGTAGAGGTTTTAAGAATGCAGTGGTTTTAAGAAATTTAGAACTTGTTTGATAGGATCAATAGCATTTAACACAGCAAATGGGAAAAAAAACATCTTTGTATTAGAAATACTGAGAGTCATTTTTCATCTGCTTGCAACAGACCTATTGTTGAAGCTTCTGGAAGAGTTGGGGTATTTTTGCTTACAGGTCATAAAGTACAGAATCCTGGCTATATTATAAGAATCTTGATTAGGTTGAAAATGAAACTTTCACCTCTTTCAAATGAAAGAGACATAGCTCTCCAACATGGGGAAATTCAAGAGTTCATTTTGATACTTCAGTGGCTGTTAGCATAATATTAATATTAAAAGAAATATCATTGATTTAGCCTGTGTTGCAGGTGGTTACCCTTTGCCACAGTCCTTAYCTCCTGGCTGCCCGACCCAGGGAAGCTGTGGGTGCACACACRGCTCCCTTACTGCTCCTGTGCCAATGGTTTCTTGGGAAGGAAGAATGTACAGAGGTTTTTCACCCAGGTGGGATCCAAACGTCAGCCCTTGGGAATCACATGTACCCTTGTACTGATTGTAGCACAGCTGATGTTAGGTCTGAGAGAAGAGGAACTGAAAGACAGCTGTGGACAGGGAGAGGACAAGGCAGCAGTCTCGCAGATAGGAGGCACTTCATACATAATGGTCTTTTTAGTTGTAGAGTGGGTGCCTTTTCTTAAAAAAAAATCAGTGAAATTTGGAGRAAGAAAAATAAGGAATAATATAGTGCCTTTAGCCTCATAGAAACTGAAAAAAAGATATATAAAGAATGTGTATAATGTTTTGCAGCCAGGCTRTATGATATAAGATAGTCAATACTGGAAATGGGATACTTTTTTAAAATCCAGACTCAYACAATGGAAGTGTCATTTCACTTGAAGCCAGAGGGCAAAGGAGCTCTTTGGAAGCTGTTTCATGTTGATTTACAGTTTCAGAAACAACTGTAARACTAAAATACCTGAACAGCTTTTGTCAGGCAAACAGCATGTTTTATCTTCTGTTTTGTGAAGATACTGAAACAAATAGACTTAAAGTTAGGATGCAAACCTTAAAATGGAGTCAGATATGGTCAGAAATGTAGGGGATGGAGACCACTGGAGTAAGAACAGAACAGTATTTGAGACCAGACTTTATGGATGAGATTRAAGTATTTGAGCTTTATCCAAAAAGATGGACAATTTAGATTCTAGACTTTATTTTGGTAGACAGTTAAGAGATGCTGGGGTTGCAATTAAGAGAATAGGTAAATATTTAGTGAGAGTTTTAAAAATAAAAATATTAAGAAGACATTTGAATTTAATGAGAAGTYCCTCTAGAACATTCTTTATTCCAAATCTAAAATATCCTAAAATAGTAAGAATAAAATAATATTTATTTGGCCTAATCTGAAATAACTCAATGGAAAATACTTTTACCTATGAAAGAAAAAGACACTGGGTAATGGTRCCTTTCTCCCCTCATAGTTCAGGAATAATTTACTTTTATGTAGTTATTGATGATTTTGCAAGTCTTCATTCTCACTGTACAGCACTAAATTATTAGTACTATGCTAGTTGTCTTTAAAATAAAAATACAATTGGGCTGTTTCATTTAGGCATGGTGGTTATGTCTGGTTTATATATGTCTGATTTTATATATGAAATACATGAGGCACATTAAAATGTATTTTTAAGGGATGGAGTTGGATTACCAGTGTAGCAGTGTGGCTGACAAAACCATGGGGTTTTGAGWCTTTGCCTGTCCTGTAGGAACAACCTGTTAGAGTGACTTTATAGGAGTGAGGAGCTGCTTGTCACGTCCTGCGCCTTGGCTGTGTTTCATTCAGAAGCTCCATTTTCACTGCCTGCCTGGCAAGCACACTRGGAAAGCTGCAGGTCTACATCTGTTCTCCTGCCAGTCACCACAAGTAATTACCTAGTCTCTAATTGGAATTTAATTAACAATTCCATCAGTTATTTCCATCTGAAACTATGGTCTGTCTTATTTCCCTCCAGTATGGCCACATGAAGTCTGCAATGTTCACAGAGGTCACTAGCCACTGTAAATATGACAGCTGCTCMTATAAGCACATAGGATTTAGCTATACATTAACTCTACTGGGCACCAGTGGTGGAGCAGGATGGGGCTCGGCGTGACAGGCAGCCCAGTTTAGGCGTAGGAGCTTAAGCACACGGTGAGAGGTTGGCCTGGAGGGAGCTCTGCATTGCCCTTGCAGTGCTGGTAGCAGCCCAGGATACCAGGCTATGCTCCGTAGACTTGGTAGTATAAGGCTGAACTTAAGGCTGAACTTAAGGCTGAACCAACTTTTTCAAAACAGTCTTCTCTGTGTTGTCACTACCTGTGACTTCAAGGTCGTAATCCCCTAGGGAAGGTTAACTGGGTGAAACTGAGAAGGTAAGACTAGATACACCCACATTTTGCGAGGCTTGACTGCTGTTATATAGTGATTATTTTCTTCTCTAGTATGTTAGCAGTTGTTTTTTAACAGGAGTCTCAGCAAAAGAAGGAAGTTCTAGTATATTCCCATGTCTTTGCTGATCAGTACAGTTGTTCAGTCACTGATTTTTATGTTTCCAAATGATTTTGCTAATAAAGAATACCTATTTTCTTTTTATTGGACAAAAATACTGATGACATTAATAAATCAGTCATTAAATTTACCAACATTTAAACACTAAAAATTATTTTATAGGTTTATGGCATGCAGTCATATTTTAAAACCAAGGAGGGGAGGTAGAATGCTCTGTGCATAAATTTTAATACTGTAAATTATACCTAGAGGAGATGAGGAACCTGAGGGCAGCATTTGCAGACATTCTGCATAGACATGCAGTGCGGGTCTGCATAGACATGCAGCTGCTGATTCTGCCACAAGTATATGGTATAACTTTCATGAACACTTCTGCTCTTTCTTTCTCTACCTTAAAACAAGGAAAATAACTCACAGTTKGTATCACATTTATTTATGGTAAAAAATGCACTCAAATGCTATTCTTCAGGGAGCTGTACACGGTGCAGTCTTTTGGGATATTCCTAGTGTAACTTCTTCCTTACAAGAAAGCATACACAAGTGATCATTCATGGAAGGCAGTTACTGTAAAACTATTAMAAAAGGAAGAAATTTCATATCCAGACCTCAACAACATTCCCTTCTGCAGAAGTACCCAAGTTCAGCACTTTACATTGTGAATAATTTCTGCAGGTGACTGAGTCCAGTTTGCTACCCCCCAGCAGCTCATCTAGCTTCTGAAATTCTGTGTACAATAATTTCTCCCATTGTTTTCTCCAAACCTTCTCTTTCTTGTTCCTTACATCTTCTCATGCCATCTTCTTGAAGTGTTAATCGGCCCTTACATTTCACCTTACAATGGCCATTCTTCTAAGATTCTTGGTTGTAAGCAATCAGATATTTGTATTCACAGAAATGCTTGTAATTAGAGACAAAATCTCTCTCTACAATATAGTATGAMCATATAACACAAAGCAGAATAGCACAGAATTAGTACTTACTAGAGCTAACTTGTGTGACTAGGATATACATAACAGGTTGTTCAGAAGTRACTTGAATACCTCTACAAAACACCATTTTGCATCACATAGGCCGTCAGCTGGCAGGTCAGTGTTTGGAGTATGGTCACAACAAGGCAGAATGCTGTTGGCACCTTTTAATTTTTGAAACATTTGCAAATTCTCAGTAGAAATTTTCTCTAAATCCTGTGGTGTTGCTGTTGTGTCCTTTTGAACTTCCCAACCCAACAGTTCAACAAGATACTGATTTATTTGCACAGCTACAATATCACTTCCCCTTTTGTTTTGATAATCTCTTCTGTTTGTTTAGTTTATAAAATAAGTATTAACATTTGTCAGGCAGAAATTCTTGTAAATAGAATAGGCCCCAAGAGAGACACTTATTTTGTAGTCCGCAACAAATTCTGTTGCCTGTTCAATTTTTTCACTAACTGAGCAAATTTGGGCAAGTCRCTAAGTCTCTCTGATTCATTTTTGGGCACTGGGGGAATTCTTGTGGTAAGAAATACTCTACAGGGGTTTATATGCTTTGCTAAGATTTGCGRAACCTAACTTTAGAAGAGCTGAAAGTTTTGCACAAGTTACTCTGTCAATCAAAGTGAGGGGCTAGTAACTTCAGCTAGATAGCACAGCAGAGTAAAACTAATATGAACCAAGAAATAATTTGTATTCTGTGACAGTTGAAAACTCCGTTATCAGAATGTCAGGCAGTCTGGTGATACAGGCAGTGGAGATACCATCAGTGATGGTCTCCAAAGCTGTTTTGTGGTAGAGTCACTGACACCATCCCTGTCTCTTTGCTCTTACAGTATCGGTCAGGCCGGGATCCCCAGCGAGGCTCTGACAACGTCTCCAATAAGTCTTCGGACAGCGACGTGAGCGACGTCTCAGCTGTTTCAAGGACAAGCAGTGCTTCACGCTTCAGCAGCACCAGCTACATGTCCGTCCAGTCGGAGCGACCAAGAGGAAACAAGAAAATAAGGTGAGCTCAACACCAGCCATGGCCACCTTGTTTGAGTAACTGATCACATTTCAGGATCTGTATCTGCCTAAATTGAAACCTGTGGGAATTTGTGAAACACTGTTTCTTTTATACTTTTCTATATTGAATGCTGCTTTAATTCTCTATGCTATTTGTTTTGAGCAAAAAGTTTGTCATTTTGACTTATATTAACATGTAGGATCAAGAATGTCTTCTGTCAGCAGTCACTAGATGTGCTTAGATTTGCATTTTCTGAAAACAGGTTGATACTTAGTGTGGCAAAAAGTCAGTTTAACTTGCAACTTCTTGCCAGAAAGGTGAGAAACATCTTAATTCACTTTTTAAACTAGAGCTGCTCTGCTTTAGCAAAAGTCTTATTTAATATTTAAGCACAGATATATATCCACTGTGAATTAATTTTTGATAAGATGTCCACAGAGCATCTGTGAGCAAAACAGTCCCAACTTTCTTCATCTGCACCCTWTGTGCACTCAGAGGGACTTTGGATTCAGAATGAATGAGAGAGAATTTTAACCCATATGCATCTTGAAGAAAAAAAATTGATATMAGATCAAAATATTAATTCATAGAAATATATCCTTTCAAGAGAAATGATTCTGAAAAATGATTTACCCATCTCTCAGCTTWTGAGAGCACAGTTAGGACCAAATTGTGTGTCTTTTACAGTTATTTATGATTTTGTATATATGATGTATTGCTGTACAGTTCTTGTTCAAGGAAGGACTTAAAAAGTCTGTCCTAAGAAAAAGCTCCAAGTCAAAATTTATCTGGGTTAGGCCAGCATGCTTAAATTTATCACTGCATATTTCCCTTTTTTTTTTTTTTTTTTTACATATCCTTTCTTGTGAGTTCATGCATGCTCTTCTCTCTGAACCTAACTTTACTTTGTTCTTTTCTTTTTTCCTTTTGCATGCCTTGTTCTATTTTTGTTGGCTTCGGAAGGACAAGGGATATGGAGGGAAAAAAAGAGGGAGGGCTGGAAGGAGATGAACAAGATGAGGTGTTTGTTGAGGAGGAGGAAAAAGAGGAGGAGGAAAAGGCAAAGGAGCAAGAAATCAATGAAAAAGGGGAAGGGCAAGAGATAACAGACAACTGTGATAAGGAGGAAATCAAAGGATCAGGGCATGAGGAAAAGACTCAAGAGGATCAAGCTGAGGAAGGGAAAGAGGATGCCAGGTAAAATATATTTCTTTTTTTGTAGAGCTTTTCTTTTCCCTTTTGTACCTGGACCTTACTTTCCTTCTCTTTTTCCTTGCTTTGCATAGCGTGCTCTCTGTGTTCTCTGCAGCCTTTTATCTGCAACCATTAAACTTTCATATTTAAGCAAATCTCACTCCAAGTCCCACARACTACTTCTGCATACCAAGTGATGCAGCACAGTCAATTTACTCTTTATTATGCATGGAACCACACCATGTTATTTTTTAAATTGGTTTAGAATAGTTTGCATTTTACTATATAAACAATAGGAGTTGTAGGATACCTCTTTATGTTCCATATTTGAATTGTTATTTCAGGGAAGAAATCTTTTGTTGTGTGTATCTCATCCATCTCAAAACTATCTCTACTTTTCATTTCTTTTCATTTGTGGCAGTACTAAGGAAATGTTGGATTTTTTTTAATCCTCTTTGTGTAGATGATAAATATGCATATTGATTGACAATTTATATGGATAAGCAGAGTCTTTTTTTTTTCTCAGTGTGAATAATATCGTGGGTTGCTGTATTGTGGAAGGGTTATGTACCTGTGCTTCTGTATTGTGTCCAGAAACATTTCAGCACAATTGGCTCTGATTTTATCAGCTAATATTCTAGATTCACCATTTCAGGACTTTTGCTGTAAATGCACAACATCTTGTATTGCAAAATCTGCGCAATTCACATTATGAGAAATAYGATAGTCTTTCTTATTAGCAAAAAACGAGTTTGAGAATTTCTAAAGCCTTTTCATAGGATTCCTATGAAAACCTCTTCATCATGTAGGAATGGCAGAAAATCTCAGAAAAAAAACTTTCTTTTTATCTTCTAATATTGTAGTACCTATAGATAACTTATACCTTTAAACTGTGCTAATACAGACTTGGATAAGCAAAGGGCATTGTGCAGTATCAGAGAGACTGMATTCCACTTTCTTCCATTGCTACATATATGTGTGTGTACCTGCTTGTACATATGCACACACACATAAACACTTGCTTCTTTTATTTCTAACAAATAATTGCTCCCACAAAGTGATCTTCCTAAAAAGAGATGAACCAAAGCCAGTTCATCTGCGGTGAAATGGAGAAAAAAGAATTCTTGATGCAATTCTCAGAGTGATGTGAAAAAAAAAATCAAAATATGTAGTGTTCAGGCTGGGTTTGTATGGGGCAATGTAGCCATATTACCACTTTTGTATGTTGTGTCATCATTTCTGTACTCATGTGAGTGCACTTTAGAACCCACCAAAATCATCTCTTTATAGACAGCTGATTTTAAGACTGTCCTATATTTGTACTCCAGGGGCTTCTAAAGAATCCTTGTAGGAAAGTATATTTTGAAGACCTTTTTTTTTTTTCTGCAGGATCCCAGTAAGTTCCCAGATTGATGGGATCTGGAAGTCCTGTCTCCTGTAAAGAAGGACCTATTCACTCAGTTTAACCTTCAGATAAATATTGACCCTTAGAGAAAGAAAAGTCTTTGAGATGCAAATTCTTGTTCCCCGTTCCAGCTTACACCTTTGCCTTTGGGCTGTTCTCTGCCTTTGGGAATGCAGCAGAAGTCAGGAACTGTTTGCTAGGATGTGGCTGCTCTGCAGTGACTTTGTGTAAGATCTCTGCCACAATCATCAAAATCAGTCCCTTGCCGTCTCTGCCACTTTGCCCACTGGTATAAATGTTGTGTATAAAAAGAATAATTGCTCTGTAACGAGCTCCCTTTCAGTATGGTACAGTATATACTCATATTTTCAGTATTTTCTAAGCCGTCTTATGAAACTTTGTATATGAGCTCATCTGCATGTACAGGTGTAATTTTACTTTAGTCTTAGTGGAATTACAGAATATACTGCGTTAGCTTTTGGAGTCCTGGAATATAAAAACTTGATACATTTTCTAGACTGAAATAGCTRTAGAGAGAGATTTTGCTTTCCTTAAGCCTTGTAAAACTGAAAAATGGCATAGGGTTGATGTACAACCAACATACAGTGGTGTCCTTTTTTGGTAAGGCATGTTAGTCAACTCAAAGCATGAAGCAAGCTTTCCTGATGTAAGTTTTAAGTATTCCTTATGTACAGGTGCTTTGTGTCAGTGTTGCTAAGTATTTTGCTCGATTGGAAGACGTTATTAATTTCTTATTCAGCTTACATTTACTCTATTGTATAAGTAATTCCTTGATGATATCAGGGGCAAGAGATGTAGATCTCTCAGATCTAATGTATGAACAATCATAATTTTTAATCGCTAGAAATCTGTTTTTTGCAGACTAGAAGACTTTTTTAGAAATCTGACTAGCCTAAATCTGAACTTTTCATATTTTTTTGCTAGATATGAACTCAAAATATTAATTCTGATAATCATGATAGTTTTTGATGTCATATCAATACACAGTAACTGTAATCATGAACCTGGGTTTCATTGCCATAGACAATGCTCAAATACAAGTCTCAGAGGGAAATACAGAGGTCAGCAATACTGAATTGAAATTGGTGTTTCACTGTGAGGTGCTGAAGAAAGAGGTTGCCGTGCAGGCAGGAAAAGACTAGAAGGAGAGGAGTTCTGTAAACTACCAGTGCAGAGGGGATAATATTTTGATGTACTGTTGCTGAAGGTATGTTGGTCTTGGAAACAGCAGTAATAAAGCCTGATAGGACCCTGACAGTAATCTGAGAGGACAGAAAATGAGAATCTAGTAGAAATATGTTGAACAAATGACTAGAGAAAGAGAAAATTCAAGAGATGATGCACCAAAAGTTCCACAGGAACTTCAGAAAACCCTTCTTGACAGTGATGGTGCCAGAGCCCAGGGAGGTTGTGGAGTCTCCTTCTTTGGAGATCTTTAAAACCCGCTTGGACGCAGCSCTGTGSCMCGTGCYCTAGGTGASCCTRYGTGAGCAGGGGGGTTGGACTAGATGACCTCTGAGGTCCCTTCCAACCTTAAGCATTCTATGATTCTATGATTCTAGGCACTATGGAGGCTGAAGGAGGACAGCRTTTCAGAAAGAGATGGTTAATTAGTGCAAGGCAAGGGAAAGTACAGTGTATTTTCAAAATCCTGGATCATTAAAGACTTCATCTGAAGTAATTTCAGCTGAACGAAAAAGGTAGAAAGCTTGGAAACAGTCTGAAGTGGAACTGGAAAACAAAAGCTCAGCAGAACTATTCTAAACAAGAGGTTCAATTAGTGCAGGGATGGTAAAGAGAAAGGAGATCCAACAATAGTTGCAGAGCTGGGGAGAGCAAGAATAGAGCATCTGTTTTTACTTTGCAAAGGGATGTGTCAAAGCAGGCTTCCATTGCCTGACAAAAGAGCCAGTGGAGGGCAGGTGGCCAGGAGTAAGGAAAATGAGAGAGATGGGAGCAAGACAGATGAGAGCATGCAGTCACTTAGGCAAATGAGAGGAAGACACCCAGTGAGAAATTTCTGTATCCATGCCAGGCCAAAAAGAGGAGAAAAATGGGAAGAGAAGAATGGACAGATAGTACAAGAGGAGAATAGATCACATGTTTTGCTATATTGTGGAAAAAATAAATGCAATCCTGTGTGAGAAAAAAATAAGTGAAAGCTAAAAGAAGGATGAATATAATCGATTATAAGGAAGATGATAGAACTGAGGAAGGAGAGAATGAATTTGTAGTAAGAAAAATCATTTTTTCAGAGGAACTCCATGACACAAGAAGCAGCGAGGAGAACAATTTCAAACAAATGGTTTGTTCAGATACACAAATTGCTGTCTTCCTGCTGCAGTCCTTTATGCACTTCATGTCATTTCTTTTGTGGTTG